ACCAGGTTCCTGTGGGTGCTGTTGTTCCTGCTTGTAAGGAGTAGCATTGTCTGATTTTCAAGACACCCCTGAAGCTGAATCCTGTATTGGATTTGTATGCTCTTAACTAGGCTGAGCAGCTTTCTTTTAAACTCTTTTACTTATGTAGGTAAAAAAGGCTACAGGCATTTCGGATCCTGTTTCTCAAGTGACAAGAGATGCGTGCATCGTCAAATGATGGACTGCTCTCTCGTGTAAATTTAGCTTTCATCCCTGGTTTAGAATTCCCACAAAACCAGGAAGTGTAGGACAGAGGCTGAACTGGCCTGTTTATTTGTAAAAATCAATCTTCCCTGTCAAGGGATAAATTTGATTTGATAGTATTTTTGCATCCAGCACACAGGTACAACTCATTCCTGATTCTTCAGCTCTTTTTCGTACTTTAAAATCAGGTACCCTGTACTTCAATTTTAAAAGAATGATGGCCTATGGCCTTCACTGGCTTGTTAACTCCCCCTTTTTTTTTTTTTTTTTTTTTTTTGTTCAAAGAGGACCAGTTCAAATAGATTTGTTCTTCATCAGCTGCATAGCTAAGTTAAAACTGCCTTAAAAAAGTAACTTCTACCTGTAGTAGAAATGAACAGTAGTAGGCAATACTAGGTTGGGTCAGTGAACGGACTATGAAACACCTTTAACAAACGCCTCCCTCACTACATACAAACAAATGCTAGCAGATGACAATTTAGTGTTACGCAGTTGCTAATTTAAATTCTAAGTACCTACTGCTTTTAAATTCAAAGTACTTACTGTTTATTTTCGTAATAGATGTTATGCTGTGAAGTCTGTTCTCTCCTGTTTTGTATATTTTAATATAAACCAGGTTGCCTCTCACAGAGCACCGGTTACTGGAAGCAGCAGTGATGCAGAAAACTCATTTTAACTTTACAGAACCCATGTAGATCCCCTTTTTCCACCCCTTTCAAATGATGCTGTCTGTGACTGAGAAGCAGCCGGAACATTTCAAGACAGACGAGCACGTGCCCTTCCAAGTGATCCAGATTACTTATTAACACATTCTCTGTAACAGCCCTTCAGTATATAGTTTAATAATAAGTAGTAAGGAAAGTATGTTTGGAGCAAGGAATTTTTTGCTCTGTGTTACAGACCCTGCTCCGCTAGCTAGAACGGAACGCTAGCTTCACGTCTTCCCCTGACGACGCGTTTGCCCATAACACTAGGAAAAGAGCAGCGGCGAAAAGTGTACGAACCGCCGCTGCTTCCAGGGCGGAGGCTGACCGCTGCCTCTGCTGCCCACTGTCACCCTCCCTCTGAGGGGGGGTCTCCTGGCTCTAGAACGGTATGCAGCTGCCTGGAGCTGAACAGCAGATAGTGGTCTCAGGTATCAAATAAAATCTGAGAACAGTAAATACCTACTTGCAAGTGGTAGTAGTATGAAACTGAGCTGGTCAACAGATTATTAAACCATCAGACCCTTTTTTTTTAGCTGTTGTAAGTATTATAATTTTCCTTTCCTGTGCCAGATTATATAGCCTGAAGCTTCCCAGGCTAAGAGGGTGCTGGATGTCACCATTTAAATTAGGAGCAGGAAGATGCTTCCATCCCATTACAAACAATCCCTGTTACTGCAGGGACTTGGACAAACGCAGAAGTTTCCCCGGGGCAGCAGACTGCGATGTCTGCGTGCATCTCGCGAGGCTGGGCGTTCACGGCGAGACGCTGCCGCGCACCATCTGATGACTGTGCTGCTTACCTGAGGTTTTTTCGCCCAGAAAAACAGGTCACGTGATGCTAATTCCTAGTTAATAGGCAGGACTGATGCACACAGTGAATGGCTGGTGAGCACCTGGTCTGTGCATCAGCCTTTGTCACCCACCCTCCAGGATAATGCTTGTACCAGGTTCCACCACTGTCCTCTTAACGATTGATGCCATCTTTTGTAATTCTTTGACAGCTGTTTGTTTTAAGAGCCAGATTTGTATAGACCAAGCATTCCACACCCAAACTTGATGGAGATACAGAAAATTTGCCACAATCGTAGAATCAAGTAAGGTTGGCGGGGATCCTGCTGGAGTACTCAGTAGGAAATGCAAAAAGGAAAACAGAAGCCCAACACTCAAGGTCTAATAGTTGTTTTGCATTAAAAGAAAATACTGCAGGCTTTAGAGCTCTTTGCATCCTGATCAGTGAGAGAACAGCAGGGAGATGCGGGCATTTCTGACCTCTGTGTTCCCTCTCTTGGGCTGGCAGGCCCAGAGTTCCCTGTGGCCACACAACTTTGCTTCACTTTTGAGAACAGGTAAATATTGCTATCTCGTTCCTCATTAAATTAATTTATAGAGCAAAAAAAATATGCAAAAATATCAGGCGCCACGCAAGCCGAGATGCACTGAAACCACAACCACCTGATCAGTGGTTTGTACATCCCTGGGGAAGGGAAGCAACGTACTGCAGCTCTGCGGAGGCACACGCAGTTCTCTTGCGTGGCCCCAGAGCGGCCATCCGGGCTCCTGCCTGCCACGCTGCAGCAGGGCTGTCTGGCCTAGGAGCTTCCCTGGCCACGCGTAGGGACTCGGGTCGCAGACTCGCAGCAGGTCACGCCTTCAGCCGCTGTTTTGGTAGCGCTTCCAGAAAACTCCGGCCCTGATGCCGTTTTACAGACGTACAAAGCGCAGTGGCTCACGTCAGCTGTCCTTCAGTTTTAGAAGTGCAATAAACCAAAGCTGTGTCAGTGCAAACTGCAAGAACTGAACAATGCCAAAGGTGTTTCTCAATCCAGCAGAGTGTTACAGAGAGGTTACTTAGTCTAGAAAATGGACTTACCTACAAGAAGTACCCTTGAGTCACTGAGTGGATCTTCCTCCTCGTCCACCCCTGGAATGGTGCCTTGAAGGAAACCGATGACAAAGCAGCAGCTCACCTGATGGTTCTCACCAAGCTGAATTGTACTGAAGATTGAAACTTCAATCACTTTCACAAATAATACATTTCACTATAAATAAGTACCTTCTGACTTTATAAATATGCTCAAAGTGATACCCCTTTCTATTTATTTAGAGATGTTTCTGTGATTATTTTTTTTAACTCTGTACAAACTGATTGTGCTTATTCTGTTGCCTTTGAAAAAAGAAATATTTTTTTAAGCCAAACCACGATTCTGTAAGAAGAGAATGTTTACATGTTTAACTTTTCAGTTGCTGTAGGTACATGTTTCGTAAGTCAAAAATTAAAGAAAAGGGTTGACAAATCGTACACACGTGCTGCCAGAGTCTTTCTATGAGAGATGAACAAACCCAAAACTCTTCTACTGCCGCCAGCAGAGGCAAATTGCCACCCAGGTAATGTAACTCGATTCAACTCTGTTCTATTCAATAAGAAATAAATGCAAACAACCTTTAGAACCAGAAATTTATTGTAGCTTATAGACTTTCCAAACTGACCTGTTACCAATATACACATCTGAAAAGTTATACCGACAGTGGCTACAAACTGCATCGGGACATTTACAACCTTTCAGTATTACCATCAAGTCATGATCAGTTTTGGTCTAAAATACAGCAGCTACAGCAACAGCATATGGAAGGATAAGTCTTCTACACATTAACACAGGACAACTGTCAGACATAAGTTAAAAGTTTCCCAGTTTACTTAAAACTAGCAGTTATATTACCACGTAAGTAGTCAAAACCATTTCCCCATTTTAGAAATCTAAAATTTTACATTAAAAAAAAAAAACAAAAACAAAACAACCCCCAAAACCAGTAAGCTAGCTGTGTGGGTTCTCTTCCCTGCTCCCAGGTCCATCTACTATGGTAAAAGGCACTCCGCAGCCGAGCCTCACCCCAGGTAAAACCCACCACAGATCGCATTACACACAGCGCTAGGTGAGAACAGGTCTGCTCTGAAAATCAAAATGACAGAACCATTTGGATCCATCCTTATCTGTTCTCTCTTTATAGAAACATTTGGATCCATCCTTATCTTTCCTCTCTTTGCTGTGCCCCCCTTTTGGCTCACTCGTTGCTCCTCCAGCACGCTCACCCAGCGCAGCCCTTCCCTGCCGTGTACCCCCAGCCGCTGAGCAGCCTGCTGTGAGCTGTGGGCTCTGTGCACCCAGAGCCGAGGCAGACCACATCCACGATGAGCCAGAACTGGAACTGTGCTTACCGTGCTGAGGAGCGAATGGAGTCCTAGTCTCCTGTGACAGGCAAAACAAGTTACTCTCTTTAATTCACCTCCAAACGTAAAAATCAAGTAAGCAGATACTCATCATTCAAGGCTCTGCGTAAGATCAAATAAAGTTAAATAAGACCTGCCTTACAAAAAAACGAGCACTCTCCACCATGGGGTCATAACTTGCTTTTCGTACCTTTCAGCTATTTCTTTAGAGAAGTCCTTTGCATTTCCAAGTTAGAACTGTGATCCAAAACAATAAAAATCCTCTGGACTTGGAACAATATTAACATGATTCCCAAGGATCATTTATGCTCTAGTTCTTCACCAGCAGGTAAACACAATTACCAAGTGTAAACAAAGGCTTAATACACCCACAGTCCCAGTTACTGTACAAGGGGCTACAGGGAACGAGGAGGAGTGTGTTTAACAGAAATGAAAGCAGCTATGCCCCAAACCCTCCCACTACCAGATCAGAAAAACTGAACAGCAAAAAAAAAAAAAAAAAAAAAAAAAAAAAACCCTCACAAACACCTATCGATGTAGACTGGTAGCCAAGGTGCGCAGGTACACAGGGCTCAGGCTTCCCAGCTTCACTTACCAGTGTAAGGATCAACCAGCTCGGTGACCAACCCGCCCTGGCAGCAGGACGGACAGACCATCCCTGCACTGCGGGCAGCCTCACGCTAATTAACAGGAGCCGCGGCCACTCACCACAGCAACAGCTCCCTAGTTCGCCCACCAGCCAAGTAGTGTTTTTTTCCCAATAATTTAAAAGCCCTTATGCCAAGACTTAATTGAAGAAAGAAAACAACCATATTGCACAGGGCAGTTGAATGTCTGCAGAGGTTCCTAAAGCCTTTACAGCTTCTCACAAGCTTGTCTGTTCCCGTTGCAAAAATAAAAGGAGATTAAAGAAAGAAGAATTAAAGCAAAACCAGAGCGGGGCACGAGTGCACATGGCAGTCAAGGCCAATGACACTGTGTTACTGAAGCATCTATGCTAATGACTGTGCCCGTGCTCCTGCTGCAGTAGTATGAGACGTAATATTTCATGCTGCATGGTTTTTTTACTTTAGCATGTTTGAAACCCCAATCCCTGTTTTCACTACCACAAATGACATAATTACATAATTCCAATATATTTACAAAATATTAAAAAGTCTGTTAATCTTCTACATATTAACGTCATTCTGCCACTTTACACATGCACTAACTTGGGGAAAAAAAAATTAAAAGAAATCAACAGGCTGAAATGAGCAGCTTTACCCTTTGTCAACGAGCATTCTTTGCGTCTTTTAGAACGAGAAAAAGGAACAAAGCCAAGTTTGTTTCACTGAGCAAAAAAAGACAGTCCAGAAATTCATGTGCAATGGCTACAGATCAGTAGAGTCACTTAGCTGAGATGACACGGAGAAAAAAGTGCAAGGTGGTTCCTCACATAGCGTAAAAAAAAAAATCCAGTCACTGAGGCCTGGCTGAAGGAGAAGAGGTGCTAACTACAACCCTAGGGACAGCACCAGGAACTAGCTGAACACAAACACGGGGTGGGGGTGGGTTGAAGCTACTGGCCAGAATATTTTTTTTTTTTTTTTAAACACCATGAATCCTCGGTAACAATGGAGCGTGTTACAGCGGAGTCTTCTAGGGCAGAAACAGAAAGACGAGGGGAGCAGCTAGAATCAATAGCTGAGGGTCGAGTCATCCCATTCCAGCTGCTGCTGTCTATTCACGTTCTGTTGGTCCTCCTCCTGCTCTCCCTCTTCCTCCTCACTGCTTTCAGACTCTGCACTAGTGATGTCATCTTCTTCTCCATCTTCACTTTCTTCTTCCTCTTCCTCCTCTTCCTCTTCACTGCTGTGTTGATCCTCGTAAGTCTGTTAAGACAGAAATTCACTGTCGGTATCATAGTGGCCAAAATTCTTTTTAGTCTTCTGAATTCAGGCACAAAGCACCACATTAACAAAGAGCTATTACAGATTCCTTACTGGTTTTAGGAGTTCAGCAGTAATTAGGCAACCAGAAAAGCAAGAAGAAGGAGCGGTCTTTAAAACAGCTTCGTAACATTGCTACCAATCCTGTCACTCTAAAAACTAATTCTGAAGTGTGATCCTGTACTTCAGACTCTACTGGAAAAGGATCGCTCAGCAGGGTCACACAAGAGCATTAAGGCTGCACATCTTTCTGGTTCCCCATTTTCTAAAAATTCAGATGTCAGCCACAGGAGAGGAAACATTGCAAACACAGATGTTTCAACAAACAATTCTTGCCACTTGGGAAAAAAGCCGCCCATGGTTAAGGTAGTGTGCAGCATGACAAACACTAGTGCTGGACACTGACCTGTAAAATCCAATTACGTATCACAAAGCTATAACCCGCGCAAGATCCCAGACAGAACTGCTCTTGGAATTTGCCACTTTGGCACATTTGTTAAAAATTCACAGCTAATGTCTGTACTCTGTGTCCACTGGTTGGTTTTGCTCTGCTACTCCGTAATCACACCCATTACAGCTGCAAAAGGGCGTTTTTTGGTTAAGTGCTGAGACACCAGCTTTACCTCCATGGGGTTCACGGTGATGGTCAAAGCAGAGTCATCCCAGTCCATCTCATTTTCCTTTCCAGTGTCCTGGTCGCGCATCGTTCTCTGGTGTGCAGCTCGGATTCGGAACACTCCCAGAATAATCATAAAAACCAGGAAACTGACACAAACGACAATCACCACCGTGGCTGTACTTGGAACAACTGCAACAAGAAAATAAAAGAAGTTTCTTAGATGATACTGAGAAGCAACTCTTACACAATGCTCGTAGCTAGTCCTCCGTTCCCACCGCCTGCAAGAGGGAAACGGCATTATACAACTATTAGATGGAGCCACACAGAGGCAGTTTGTCTTAGGCCATTTAAAAAGTCAGCTGGAGATTAAGAATTAAAACTTAGTTCCTTAAGTATAATGACATCCATCTGAAGGACTGACAACACATGGAAAGCAGACTCCACCACACACAGAGACTCCTCCCGAAAATGCCTGTTTTCTTCCTCTCACATCCTACACCCACGCCAAATTAATTTAATTAAAACAGAAAGGACAGATACCACAACTCATCAAGGGAGTAACGCTGCCATTCCTTCCTCATGCTGCTAAGAACAACTCCTGCCCTGGTTCCTCACAGTCCTCTACCTAGGTCTTACAGTCACCTCAAGACTGGCACACCTCCCATTTCCAACGCACACACCAACAGAAAGCTCTCCTGCTGGCAGGAAAAGGTCTTTCACAGATCTCTAGTAATCCACTCCTCCCTGCTTGGGCAGCAGCAGAACAGGACCGAGGAGCTGCTTCGGCTATTAGTCCAACACACTGGTGTAAACTCTGAGCAAAAAAACTTCTCTGCCGCAAGAAGCCTCTGTGACAGTTTAACACCAGCATAGAACAGCTGAAGGTCAGCGACTGAGAACTCTTACCAGAAAACGGGTGAGGGTTAGCCAAGTTGTGACCGGAGAGATCAACAAACGTATGATGCACTGGATGAACAAACTGTGGCTGCGCAGCTATGTGATTAGCATGTTCCGCTGGGTTAGCTGTGTGGATAACATTCACCTAGGAACAAAAAGAGAACGTTAAACTCCAGAAATGCAAGAATTTATTTCTGAAGAGAGAGAAAGAAATTAAAAAAAAAAAAAAATAAAAAAAATTTAAATCTCTGTTTCCCAGAGCAGGCATCCAGTCCTCCTCTGACGCAGCAACGGCTTATCTCGGGGGACAGCCATCCCCATCAGCAGCTCCTCGTATGTCACAACTCCCTGTCACCAAACCCTTCGGTTTCACAGCTCTCCAATCTGTTGTAGTTAGCCTGGCCAAGTCTGTGTACAGACACCAGTTTTTCAGAATAAACCAGATAACGCCAGTTTATTATCAGATTTGGTAGCCAGTCATTTTAATCCCCAAATAACAGTATAAACAAAGATACAGAACACATTAATTATGTTTTCTTCATTCCCATCTTTTCTTATTCTGCTGTATATCTTCAGCTAACAGCAAAGAAAAAAATCCATTATTACAGTCAAAGGGTTAAGAAAAAAACCTATTCTTTAAAGTTTAACCCATGCTGAGCATCGCTGACTTTTAGTGCAACCGCAAGCTCCTCATCTGCACAGCACTGCGTGTTTCCTCGCCCAACAGCAGAGCTAAAGGTAGCCGTCCTGGGGCGGGCCGCTGCGACGCAGGAAGAGAGCACGTGTACTGCAGCACGAGGAAAGCACTTCCAGTTGAACAGTTTGGTAAGATCCCAATTCAAGCTCACAGCATTTCCTCAGGAAACAAAACCACATTACTTAACACAAAAAATTCTATTCTGCAGCACAGGAGGCTCCCCAGTCCAGCGTAACCACCCAAGCACTGTAAACGCAATTAACTTTACAATGCAGAAACTCAAGCTCACAGGTGAAAGATGCAGAGATACATCATAGTTCCTCTCAATATAAATAACTTCACATTCCAGCACCTGAAATTTTAGCGCCCTTTATGGACAGCCCTGCTGTACTTCCACATACTTGATGTAAGTGTACTAAGGAATAATTAACTTGTATTCTACTGCAAACACAATCTTAGCCTGTCTGTGCTCTTACATGAGCCCTTAGTATCAGCGATTTAAGCATCGATTTAAACATCACACAAGCAAAACAGTGAAAGGCCCAGCAAGTTCATCTGTGGAATCCTAGAAGTTACACACGAAGGCCACTCCAGTCTCTGGCAGCACTACTCTTACTCTGTTTGCTCGGTTTTTGCTAAATTAATACCCTGTCTTTCCAATTCAGCCTTTTTTGCCTTCACACTTCCATTAGCCACACTATTCCTTCCACAACACACCAGTTTCACCTCTGTTTAGACAGCCTTATTTAAAGCTGAAATGTAGGATTAAGAACACATTTATACATAAAATACAGCCTGAAATGCGCATGTTTACCAATATTTGTTTACAGGACAAAAATCTAAATCAATAATTGATCAATTATCTGTAAGTGGAGACAATACCTTCCATTCCCCTAGCCACCCAGGCTCTCAGAGTGAGAAGATCAGCTTACATACCTCCACTTTAAACTCATTGCTGACATAGCGTCCATTAAGCTCAGAGCAGACTAATTTGAACTTTCTGTCAAAGAGAGAAACGGTGTGCCAGTTTCTGTAGCGTATCAAATGCAAAACTTCTTCATAACTAGCCATCGTATCAACCCCTGCGGAGAGAAATGAACAACTAAAACAATTACTTTGCAAAACACCAGTGCAACATCACATGCCCAACAAGTATTTCTCCTTTTCTTCAAGTAAGTTTTCTTGGCTGACAGATTTTTCACTTCGTAGAAAAAAGGTAACACCACAGACACCCATATGTGCTTCCACTGAAAATTCCCTGGTTTGATTTTGTGATCAAATCCTAGACCCACTTAGTCTTTAAAGGGATCCTGAGAGCCTTTCATTCAAATACATTAACATATCCTGAATATAAAATAGAAACGAATGATGCTCCTGGGCACTGGATTCTCCGTGTAATTTGGGACTTGAGACGAGAACAGAAAGGCGGTTCTAGAACGACCTATTTTCAAGAATCACAGCTTCCCACAAAATAGTTGTAACACCTCTAAGCTTGACATTCTAGTCAAAAACGAAGTATTTGGAGTAAGGTGTGACAAACCACCTCTCCAGCACGCTGTTCCCATTATCACTGTCTTCAGACCCTTCCTACAAAAAAACCAGAAGTAGTAACCCCTACCTGTGATTATCATGCCCAGGTTGGAACTACTCATCTCAATGCCTTTCTGCTGTAATCGTGTCATGTCAATCTCCAGGCTTTCTTGTTCCTGGTTTAGTTCCTCTCCTAGCACCGTCACCTCACACGTATCCAGGTTATGCATGATCTCTTCAGACACCAAAGACTCTTGTACTAAAAAACAGAGAAGTCGTCAAAGAGGTAAGCAGAAACAAAGGTGAAGCAGACAAGAGCCCAGGAGCTATAAAAAGTCACATGCAAACTCAACTCTTCTTTCAGAATAAATATTAAGATCTGGGCCTGAAGTAAAGAGAGCAATTATTCATGAAATACTGGTTTTAAAAAAAAATACAAAAAACAAACAAGGGGGATTTACAGGAAGGTAATGGCCTGGGCTTACTACCATTTCCAGATAAATTTTTGTTCGCCCAGAGCAGAGTATCTACACCTTCTCACAAGAGATACACATCTTCGTTTCCCCCACTAGATTCTTAAAAGAGAAATCCATGCCTCTGGAAGAGGAAGATCCTCCAGCGTGATCACCGAAGGGGGTGAGGGCAGGCACGAGCCCTAAGCAGAGCAGGGTGTTACCTGTGGGATCTTCGTCTCCATCTCCCTCTGGCTCCACCTCCCGCGTAATGGTGCTGATTATGCGAAGCTCAGGGAAGAGGGAAACACCCTCAGAACTCTCAAACTCTGAGGCCGAGCGGGCAAAATGGTTGATGCCACTGAGGCTGATTTTTGGTTCCTCTGGTTGCAAGACCATTACATACCCCTCCACAGCAGGAA